AATAAAACAAATGTTTTATATAGGTGAATTTTACTTCATAGGAGCTAGAAAACCTGTGCAGGAAATCTACCTCTGTATGTTTTGACATCCATCTTTGGAGTTTTGATCCTTCATCACTGAGGCTCAGAGGAAGGATGATCCTTCCTGACCAGGGCCTGTGAGGTTCCACTGAAGGGGATGGCTCAGTCTGTGTAGTTAGAGCTTTGATTGTGAATATTGTCCTGTTAGCAGTGAAATACTCTCTTCAACAATTGCGCCTTTTAACCTACCAGCCTTTGAGGGACTACTCTTAACAGAATACAATTAAATTTCACACTTCTATAACATCCAGCTAAAGTGTCTGTAACAATTTTAGGAAGCCAAGTACCTTTGTCTCTAGGAAGTAGCACATTCAATTCTATCATAAAGTGGCAGTTGCTGTCATTTATTACCAGCATGAGAAAGTTCTCTGTGAAGATTTTCATAGTATGTGCCATACCTTTTGTATTATTAGTATGGACATGTGTAGTTAGATGATAGATATCAGCAGTAGCAAATCACCAGGAGAAGGAACAGGAGACTTGTCAGGAGGTCAGACCATGGCTTGTCCATCTTGCTCTGTTTCTTATTTACTAATCTTGATTTCATTAGAAGTACTTAATGGCAAAAGAGAAACTGTGAGCAGTGCTGGAAATGTGGCAGGAAGTTATCTAACATATTAGTAGCTGACCTCGTCAGTTCAGGGAATAGCTAAATCTTTTGTCTCTGTTCTTCACATTGAGCACTTCTATGTGCCATGCCTCCTGGCAGCCTGACCAACAGCCTGCTGTTCTTGGGATCTGTTGAGGCTTGGATTGCATTTAGCTGGGTGACCATATTCTTAGTTCTTGCTTAAGACCCTCAAAATGAGATCCTTATATCTCATCTAAGGTCACTTCTATTTTTGATTGTTATAATAGATAGCATTTTTATTGGACAGATTATAAAATGTCTGCTGTATGTGTCCTTTCTCATCCAGTGCTCTTCCATCGAACCTCTTAGTAACTCCATTGATTGTTCTGACCTAGCTGTTTTGTGACTAGTTCTGTTCATGTTTCTTTTGGTTCCCCATGGTTTGACCACTGCTCATATGCAAGTTACTTTTTCTAATTTGCTTCAGACAAATGTTTAAAAAAAAACAAACAACAAACAACTCAGCAACTAATAATTTTTCTCCTTGCTATGACTGGATACTTGCAGATACAACATATAGAACTTCCTTTCCCTTTCTTGGTGAATTGACTTCTCTTCCAGAGCTTGCGTTTTTTTTTTTTTTCTTCCTGCTGCTAATAAATTGTGTCCATTCTGGCTATTGGATAAAGCTTTTTTTCCCCCATACAAGATAGCAGAGAAGCCAGGACATCTAATTGTTGAGAAGTACAATAAAGTGTACAATTGGCAAATGAACTGGAGCTACAGTTGAGCTTTCATATGCCATTAAATATTTTTGTAAGAAAAATACTTGCAGAGAATTAGTACTGAATTCACTAAGCTGTTAGAAGTAAAGTTTGCTTATGTACTTTACCATAGTTCACTTAAATAGCATGTGTAATGCGTACCTCAGTTTAAAATACTGAGTCATTGATCCATAGAAAACAAGTTGTTAATGATCTAGCTACTCAATTGCTGTTTGCAGGTCTTCAAAATTAAGACACAGAAATGAAGGACATTTAACTTTCTCTGGTCTTTAAGATGTGGCAGTGATTGTTTCCATGCAGTGTGTTAATCTTACTGTATTGAGTTTTGTAATTCATGAAGCAAATAATCCACAGTTAATAATGGAATTGTTTAAGTGTATATCAGTGATCTTATGCATTAAACTCCAGTATTCATCACAGTATGATGAATGACCTTGCTCAGTACTCCAGAACTCAGTTTAGACCCATTTCTTTGGAATTAGTTGACTGCTAATACGGGAGATGTTGTCTGTTGGTTTGAAAATACCAATACAAATTTACCAATACAATTTAGAAGATACTTGGAGTTCGGGGAGGGAGGCAAAGTTAAAAAGTTAAAATTTATTGGAAAAAAAGTGCCTTTTATCTTTTTGTCTTTTACTCATGAGAAGCTGAAACATTTAAGAGCAAAACCCTTGCTTCCTAATGAAGCACAAGGGTGAGCTGTTGAGAAATGTAAGGCTCTCCTGGCTCAAGCATGTTCTCTGAGGTTTGTTTTTAGCTTGCTCATTAGCATTGTACTGTGATTCAAATTAAACACCACCTGAGAATCACTTAAGTGTGTGGCTATCACAAATAGGCGCTGCTCTGTGAAGATTAAAATACTCTGTACCCTGCAGGATGAAGTCCTTGGTGTAATATGCTCTGGATCTCTTGTTCTTATTTTGTGCTGAGGTACAGTGGTCTGTCACTGGCAATCTAGACATTGTTGTGTAGAAAAACATTAGCTTGCCTGGAATAGATGAAGGAGTTTGCTTAAGATGTAAAAAAACCAAAAAACCAAAAAACAAACAAACAAAAAACAAACCAAAAACCAAAAAAACGTGTAGGTTCAGGGTCACAAGGTGAGGGTGTCTTGTAGTATGTAGGAGTTTGGTGCAGTCACAGGAAAAATAGTTTTTCTACAGACCCAGCAGGTACAAATATTCTAATGAATATTTTAGCCAAGGCTTGATTTAAAATATAAAATATGAAGTTGTTTTGATCACTTAAGAAGCTGTGCTCCATAAATAAAAAGAAATACATATGGATATACATACAGCTTAAATTCTGCATGAGATAACTGATCTACTAAGCAAAAGCTTTCAGACACAGTTGGTCTTCCCCACCTGCGTGTAGAGAAAGCACAAGAGTTCTTTGTGCAGAAAAGAGTAGATCAGTTTAGCTGTCACATGAGAGGAAGATAGCTGCTTCTGCTTTTTAGAGAACAAGCAGAGATTGTAAAGCCTCTACTGTTGTATTACATTGTTCATGAATTCAAGTCCAAGGGCCTCTAAAAGACTTTTTTTGTATCAGTTGGGAAGTTAATCATGGTTATATGAACAAATGAAATACTGTGTCGTTCTTTCACTGCTGGTGTTTTCTGTCTAGTATATGAAGTATTCATGCAACTGAGATGGTTCATGCCATGAAGTAACTATTATAAAAATAATGATGTTTTAACTTGTGCCTATATTACTTAAGAGCTGTGTTCATATAAAATATTTTTTGTCCTTGAACAGATTTTTTTCACTGAGGAAAAAATTTAAAGTTGAATCTTTATGCAGTAGTTTCTTCTGCATTTGAAATTTTCAGGATGTTTTTCTTTTGAGTTCTACCTATTGCTACAATATCTTTGGTTTTCATTAATTATCACTACTTCTGTGTCTGTATCTAGAAGGCAGTGTTATGGAATTCACTTGCATTACTTTTAAAAATAAGCATTTATTAAAATGAATGCTTTACCTCTGAAAAAGCATTCATTCTTAGGTGGATTTTGTTTCTACTTATTAACATTTTTAAGTCCTTAATCAGTAGAATCACACAGTTCTGCATATCTAAAATCAGTTATTAACAGTAGGTTTAGAAGTTAGCCTGAAAGAAAATATATTTTCTTTACAGTGTCCATCTGCTTATTACGTTTCAGCACTGAACAGGAAGTATTATTTCCTGCCTCAGAATCCTTTGTTTCCTTTGTCTCTACAATAAGAGAAGAAAAAAAATAACAGTACTCTCCTCCTGACCTGCAAAAACGTCTCATTTTCTTTAGAGCATGTTTATTTGTGATAAATGACCTCAGTAATACAATGCTGCTGAAGATAGGAATTGTAATTTTCACATTATTTTATTGCAATGAATATTGCAGGGGATATATTTTTAGGTCATCGTATACAAACGCAGTTGTGACTGCATGGTTAAATGTTTCAGAAGCTGAGATTGCATGGAAGAAAGCAGTGCTTGTAGCTAAATTATTATATACTCTCTCTTTTTAAGTTGTGATTTTATTTTTAGAATAAAATCTCATTCTGACAGTTGGCTTAATCAAGCTTGCTTATTTTTGAAAGAGCATTGGCTTCAAGAAGATGGGTGGGGATCATGTGGTGCTGCTAAAGAATGTGGTTTTCTTGGTGATTTAGCAGATAGCTCAGCAGAATCAGGAAATCTTCCAGACTGTTCATATTTGTTTTTCAGTGTCTGACAGTATTTCTTGCCTTTTTGTTGTTGCCAGCAATCACAAAGAACTACTCTGCTGTAGGTGAAAAAGTACAAGCCCAGATGGATTAAATTTTCATTTTACAGATATGAACTTGCTGTGAATTTTTGCTCTTACTGATTTTAAGAGCTCTTGAGTCATTAGTCACAAGGCCACCAGCCTTAATTTTGTGACCTCTGTGTCTAGTTTAAATATGGTTTAGGCCAGGTTGGATAGGGCAGCCTGGTCTAGTGGGAGGTGTCCCTGCCCACAGTGAGGGGGTCAGAGCTAGATGATCTTTGAGTTCTTCCAACCCAGGCCATTTTGTGATTCTCTGGTACTTACTGTGTGTTAGTGTATGACTTCTCTGTTTTTGAGCAGAATTAATATATGAAGAGGCACTAGGTACATAGTTTTATGCTTGTGCATCCTATGATTATGGGAATTTTTCGTCTTTAATTTATATTAATTTTGTAAATTATTTTTAAACTGAGAAAGAAATGTATGAACATGGCAACATTTGTGAAGCCTTTGATGAATGGCTTGACATTACATAGAGGGTAATTTTTGTATTGGTTTTGTATTTGCCAAGATCTCCATTTTTACTGGGTGTTCAGTACTACAAGCAGTGCACACATTTTGAAGAATATTCCTCTAAACAGGTATTCTGCTTCAAATGGCAGAAGAGATTAGTTGTAACTCTTAGAAGGCTTCTTGTGGTCTGGTGGAAATAATGTTTTAGCAGCTGCATTGTAAGGAGAGGGAGAATAGGGTGGCACAAAGTTTAAGAATGCAGTGACATTATACTTCAACTGAAATTAATTGTGTTTATGACTTTTTTTTCTTTGCTGTAGTCGTGACATGGAGAATAAAGAAACCCTTAGGGGGTTGCAGAAGATGGATGACCGCCCAGAAGAGCGCATGATCAGGGAGAAACTCAAGGCAACATGTATGCCAGCCTGGAAGCATGAATGGCTGGAAAGAAGAAGCAGAAGAGGCCCTGTGGTATGTGGCACTGATGGAAGGACAGTATCTGTAGCAGCTATTACAAATAAAAGTCTCTTAAATTTCTTTCTATTAGAAACCTTTTTTTCTTTACAATTTCTCTGCTCTTAGTTGTGGTGCTCGTGTCCGTGTCCTGCGCGGGTTTGTAGGGCAGCGGGGCTGGCTGAGAGCAGCGTCCGCGGTTGTTGCTGTTTGTTTTTAAGCCGAGGCGTTATCGCGGCGCTGCCCTCTGAGCGTCCCGCTCGGCTGCGGCGCTGCTGCCCTCCAGCGACCGACAGTAAAAACCTCCTACAACCTGGAGCAAACGCAAACTCTGCTGTTCCTTCTGCCCGCTCTCAGCTCTCATGAGGTTTGCGTGGCAGTGTTCTGTTAGCCTTTTGGATCTTGCTTTGGCATAAATGGCTTTTAAAAAACGTAGGTAGATCAAACCTGAAGTACTTTAGGTGTAGTTCCAATTCTATTCAGTATAATGTTGGTTGATTAATACCCATTACTTACCTATGAGCATAGTTGGTTGATATGACTCCCATGTACCACTAATGTAAAGTTAAGATCATCTGATGCAGTAGGCAAGTGTTTGGGGACAGCTTCTCTGGAACAGAAATAAGGTTCTGTTGGTTCTATTGTGAGAAATAATGTTGAAAATACTTAAAAGTGCACCGAACCCCATTACCTCAGTGGTTCAATTAACACAATTTTAACTTTAAAAATTTAAATGCTTTTGGGTTACTGAATAGCTTGAAATTATTTCCCTGCTCAGCCCACTTCCCTTGAGGTTTGTGGGTGTGTTAATACAAGATTTGGTGCTCTAGATTCTCAGTTACTATAATTTGACACTTCTGATGTTTTTAACACAAGTACTTTGTCCATAGGTACATGAATTTGCATTTTGATCTTCCAGGCAAGGAGAGGCATTACTGCATTAATTGATAGGAGGAAAAAAAAAGGGTTTTCACTGCTCTTTATATTTCTCTTCTATCCTGTTTGCTTTTGTAACTGGGCACTGAGTCTAGATATCTCTTACTATCCTGAGGATGGACAGCCCCTTTCAGTTTTTGTCTTAAAGAGACTTCTGGAACTTTCTAGGAGATATGTGCTCTGTTTATCTGAGTTGTTGCTTGGAACTTCCTTCCAGTGTTGAGTCAAGCCTCTGAGACATTGAGAAATGAAGAACTAAAACTGAATCTTCCCAATGTGACTGTTTTTAATTTGATTCCCAGGGACATTACTCTTCTTATGCATTATGTGGGTCTGGCTGGCAGAAAGCTGAAATAATGTCTTGAAATATTCCAATTCTCAATGTCAAAATTTAGTGTTGATGCAACAAAGCACTATTGTGTATGTGCTCCCTTTGCTTGAACTCTCCCTCTATCCACCATGCATAGTGGTTAGCTCAGATACTGGATGTGGTGTAGCTCTTTTGCTTGTATGGCAGACAAAAAAACCTGGTTGTTACAAAGAATGGGATACTTAATTTTGCTGGATTACCTCCATGTTTGAAGTCTTTGTTTTGCAAAAGTATTGTGTTAAAGATATAGTAGCCCTAGTATTTTTCAGCTGGTACCATGTGGAATGCATGGATCCAGTATTATAGCTCTTAATAAGAACAGTACCTGTAGAGAAGAAAAGTATTTTGGCTTCTACTATGCCAATGGGGAAACAGCTGGTTTTTTAGGTATCGTGAATGATAGTTACAGGAGTACTTTGAGAATCAAATCAGTTGCTGCCATAACTAATATAAGCTGCACAAATTGACAGGAAGAAAGGTTCTTGCTTTTGTGTTGCATATAGATCATTAAGCTAATTCCTCTCAAATGTTAGTAGTATGGCCTAAGAAGTATTTGGATATCCATATAATAGCTTAATTACAACAAAGGGATTACTGATTAATTTGCTTTGCTTTAATGTGAAATTACCAATTAATAATTTTAACATCTGGTTTAATTCCTGCAAGGTGGTGAAACCTATCCCTGGAAAAGTAGATGGATCAGAAATGAACAAACTCTGTCTAGATCCTCAAGCTGAAGGACACAGCATTGCTTCTTCACCTACGCAAAAAGGAAGACGTAGTCCTTCTCCTAGCAGTTCCTCTTCATCATCTGCTAGGACAGTTAAATCTGAGTCACCAGGTGTTAGAAGAAAAAGGGTATCTCCAGTGCCTGTAAGTTGCAAGCTGTGATGTAATTTTCAGTTTGGCTATATTCTACAATCTTGCTTATAGGGGCAGTAGGTCCTCCCTCTGTAGAGCAAGATTCTGATATGAGTAGGTTATTACAGAATATCACTTGAATGACCTATATATCTCATATGGTATTTCTCATGTGTGTTTTTCTTTTTCCTTCAGTCCTGCTTTCATTTGCTAGGAAACAAAAAAAAAAAAATAGGTACTCAATCATGAATACATGTATGTTTTCTTAGCTTGATTAGCATGAAGAATTACTGGTAGTTTTTTTGTTGGTGAGGGGGTTTTTTGTTGTTGTTTTGTTTGGTTTGGTTTTTTGGTTCGTTGGTGGGGGGGTTTTTTTCTTGTCTTTTTTTTTTTTAAATAACTAGCCAGTGTCTCCTACCTGTCAGTTCTCTGTGCAGGTATATTCCATTAAGGATGGGACTGTGGATGAGATGAAAATTCCTGTAGAAAAGTCTTACTGGTATGCTCTAGTGATCCTCTATTTCAGAACTTACCTTTATGTACAAATTAGGGGAGACTTCATATATGTACTTTGTTAGAAGTCTACACTTACTATCACTGCATTCTAGAGAACATCTAGAATAGAATGTTTTGAGCAAGAGTAACTGGCTTAATTAAAAAAGACCAAGAGTATATTTTGAGCAATAATATCTAACACTCTAGCTTGTTGTAAAAAGGCTCATCAACAGTTAAATTCACAGTGCAATTCACAATGCAATTAAAGGATAAATAAGATGTAATTGGTTTTATTTTCCCATTGTTCTAAACAAGTTTTTCCGGTATCAGTTAAAAAATGTACTGTCAGTCTCCTGAACTAGAGGTAAGTATCAGAAGTTACAGGACAGCAGCACTGGTCCTTTCCTCTTGACAAGAGAAGTTGAAAGGTTAAAAAAAGAGAAAACAACTATTTTTACTTGCTTGGGGTTTTTGTTTTATATTAACTTTTCTCATTAAAAAATATCATAATCCAGTTTATATTTTACTTATCTGATGGACAGTGAATTCGTGATTACTTTCATCCTAACATGAAATTCAATGCATACAAATAAAAGCAGAAGATCTGAAATGGGATGGAACCATTAGTGCATCTCATAATGTGAGAAATGTGAAGAACTTTAATGAAGACAATCTTCCCAAAATGTTTGGGCCATTTACTTTTTGATTATGGGGAAACAATATTAAAAAAACGCCAAAGCATCCTCATCTAAAAGTTGCTTAACTGGTGGAAAAGGGAGCAAGCTGTATCTTTTTTTTTGTTTTCTTTGGAAATTTCTTAAACTTTTGATCTTGAAGTTATATTCCCTCTTTTAACCTGCAGTCATAGCATTTTTTCATTTAGGAAATAGATTAGTGTTACAGCTATATAGAATAATCTTCTTTATTGAGTAATAAGTCCCTTATTATCATCAGATTGAATTAAAATTGATAATTCAGTACTAATATGGTAAGGCAACATATGACAGCATGAAAATAAGAAGCAATTTGAAAGACTCCTTTTGTGTCCCGATGTCAGACAAGTTTCAGCTGCAGAATTTCAGTTTTCTTCTGACCTTGGCTACAGGGCATGGGAGAAAAGTAATCCTTTTAAATCATATAGTTGAAGAGATTGTAGTACTTCCAGGTTTTGGGGATGCTTACTCTGTGAATAAATAAACAAACCATACCTATTTAAACATTTTTCTGTCCTTTGGCTGCTCATGACGGGGGCATTGTGTAGTTTCAGAGCGGACGGATAACGCCGCCTCGACGAGCCCCATCTCCAGATGGCTTCTCTCCGTACAGCCCTGAGGAGACAAATCGCCGAGTCAACAAAGTGATGCGAGCCAGGCTGTACTTGCTGCAGCAGATAGGACCCAACTCTTTCTTAATTGGAGGCGACAGCCCTGATAATAAATACAGAGTGTTTATTGGGCCTCAGGTAGGGAACATCTTTGTCTTGTCTATAGCTTTTATCAATTCATAGTTAACTTTGGAAAACTGTCCAAAGCCAGATTTGTTCAATTGATGATCGCTGTTCTATAAATTAATGTTTAAAAATTCTAATCTGTACTAATACAATACCAAAATTGGTTTGTAATTTGCAAATTACATTTGTCTACAGTTTCTCTTTTTTAAAAGAGAATGAGTCTTCTAAAAGAAAAAAAGACTCATTCTTAGAAGTGGCTCTGAATTATATGCCTTAGATATTCTTCGCTAAAATTTGGCCAGTTAATTCCTCTATTCATGAAATGTGTATAAATTACAAATACATAATTCTCTTAATAGTGTGATAATTTCATTCATACCCATAATTGAGATCATTTTCATAGGCTTTCTTGGTACTAATGTGATGCAATATTGGGACACATCCAGGTTTGGGTGAACAGAAGCATATCATTTAAGTTTGGTTGATGTCATCTTGTGACGTCATACTTCCAGTATGAAGCATAAAAATAGCTTCAGTTGATTAAAAAAAAAAGGGGGTGGGAGAAGAAAATGAATTGAAAACTGGTGTTGTAATTTTATGCATTCATGTTTGCATTTCTTAATAATATTTTAGGAATTCTCTGTTTTTGTAAGGTTATGCAAGAGAACATTTATGTCTATATATGAAACACTTTTGTTGAGGGGATGGGTATGTTCTATGATACACTTAAATGTGGAAAAATTGTCAAGTCAGTAGAACCATAGGATATTCTTTTCTTTGCAGACTTGTAGCTGCGGCCGTGGGACATTTTGTATTCATCTGCTGTTTGTTATGCTGAGGGTCTTTCAGCTTGAACCCTCAGACCCAATGCTGTGGAGAAAGACGCTGAAGAACTTTGAGGTAATCAATTTCTGATAGATGTAATGATGATCTAGAATACACTCCATAATGTCTTCAGGACACTCTCTGAAACATGCTGAAAACTGTTAGATTTCAAAGTAGCAAAAGTATATGTTTATAATTATATCTTTAATTCAGTCTCTGGAGTTCTGTAAGTGGAAAAAATTACCTGCAAATGTAAGACATAACTGTATAAATAGTAGAGAGCTGTAGTTTGATGAGTAATTCAACTCATGGGATTTTCTATTAAGATTTATAGATCTGTCTCACTGATTTGTTAAAAGGAAGAAAAAATGTGGGTATTTTGAAGTAATTGTATGTATACTTTAAGCTGTTATTTATTTTCAATAAGCAGATAAGTTTTGGGTGTAAAATGTTCTTGTGATCTTTTTAGTAGTAAGACTTGTGAAATTGTTGCCGTGACTGCTAATGCATTAATGTGAAGGTGAATAGATTTTTCCTGTTAGCAGTAGTTACACTTCGTTAATATGACTTTTAATAACAAGATATTCATAGCATAAATAAGACTGTTGCTATCTTTTTCTGATGTTAGGTTGAGAGTTTGTTCCAGAAATATCACAGTAGGCGTAGCTCGAGGATCAAAGCTCCATCTCGTAACACCATCCAGAAGTTTGTCTCACGCATGTCAAATTCTCATACATTGTCATCATCTAGTACTTCTACATCTAGTTCAGAAAACAGGTTAGTATTTTTTAAAGGAATTACAAGCTTTATTTTGTAGTTTCAGAATCACCTACATTCTTTTTGTTCAAAGCTGCTTTCATTTCAAGCCACGTTAAGTCTCTGCATTTGCAAGCAATCAAGTCAAGCATACATTAGTCACTGTGGTACCAAGTGGGCATATTTGTTTTGTAACTTCTGTTTGGAAAACGTTAAGTAAAGTTGTGAAAATAATTTTGCGAAACAAACTTAAATCTTGAGCGCAGATTGAAGCATACATAAACTTTGGAAGCCTATTGTTTGCAACTTTTTTTTTAATATAGCACTTGTGCAAATGTTAACAAAAGAATACATGTGATTTTTTTGTCTCCTGTCTGCTTTGGAGAAAAGCTTGTGGCTCTGACAATACACTTAAAAATGTTTAGGTTAAATGCACAGTATATAAACACATACATAAATATAAAAACAGAAGCAAGCATATGTTTTTAAAATACTTAATCAAAAATGGTTGATTAAAATATTTTAAGAGAGCTACTAACATAGTAGTTATGCCTTGCCTGTGAATTCATTCCTTGTCTGTGAATTTCCAGTGATGTGTTATTCTTTCGTATATTTTTCCTTGACTACTTCTACTTGAGTTCTTTAGTACATACTTTTCCATGGTTTTGAAAAGATACTGATTAATTTTTTTAACAAATAATTTGTGCTTGCATTATTTAGTGGGTAAACTCTACTTCATTTAGAGAGGTCAGACCAAAGACAGCAAGCCTAATTGAGGCTTTGTTTTGTGTGAAGTGGAATCTAACTTAAGGAGTACCTTGATATGTTACTTTGTGATAATAAGCATATAGTAAGATGAATATGTTCAGACAGGTTTGTAATTCTGATATACAGACTGACATTAATCTCATTTCATCTTTTACTTATTTTTCCAAACCGTGTCTCTGTAAATAAGTTGCATAAACAAAGTTGTTAAATATATAATTACTCTGGAACTACTTACCTGGCAAGCCAGTTCCTTTTATGTCAGTGCTTTCTGTAGGAATTTTTTTTCCACAGGATTGTGAACTTTGCTGCATTAGTTATCACTTATTACAGGATGAAAGATTTTCAGTTGTTTGCCACTACACCTGGTGGTACTGATTCACCCTGCAATACCGATTGAATGAGAGAAGCTACTATTCTGTCCAAGTCTAAATTTGTATGATATAGGAATTGAATAACACTGAGTATCAGATTCATTTGAGTTGGAAGTTTACTCAGTTCTGATAGTTCCTGTGACTAGCAAATATGTTTTGCTTACTGCTAATTTGTCAGAAATAAGTTTCTAATTAATATATATACACACGCACATGTGGAGAATTATTTTTAATTGTAAGCTTACTTGGTGGAGCTTTCAAGGAATAAATAGCTTTGCAAGCATTTACAGAGAAATAGAAAGGAATACATATGTATAGGAATAATGCATGTACAAGCTGATTTTATTTTGAAAATATATTGTTGGTGAACAAGTGCAGGATGCCTGTGAAATTTTAGATGCACGCCAACTGTAATTTACTTTTTTTGCCATGAGTTATTAGAGTTTTGCACATTTAAATAGTATTGCAGTAGGTTAAAAGTCTGTGCTTTTCATTGCATTTTGTTTAAGTTTAGAAGAGTTTTTTTGGCAAATGGTGATCCGTTTAAAAATTAAAGTGGATAAAAATAAACAGCAAAAAAGGGAAAATAAGTTTTTTAAATATCTGTGTATGACGTGTATGTTAGTGTTTATGTGAATCTGTTCCATCAGTTTCTGTTAGTGGCAGAAAATTCTTGAGTAGTTGTTTAGTTTTTGAGTTTTAATATGCTCATCAAAGAGTGTTTACAGTTTCTTGTAAAGGGCTAAAAACTGCCTTGTGACTCCATACTTTGAAAGGAATGTGATGAAAAAGAATGTGGGTAGTTTTCAAATTATAAGAATTCCTTGGGTTTTCAAACCCAAATGATAAATTAAAAAGTGAAGGTTGGTTTGTTTAAAGAAGCCTTAGGGAAAAAATGTTAAGTGCCCAAAGCTGAGCCTTTCTATCTCTAATTGGTATCTGACCTAGTTTGAAAAGATGTCATGTGTTTTGTGAGTTTCCTTTTCATTTTAACAAAGTGTTGTCTGTACTCAGTGCTTCTAAAAATCTGGTTGCTTACTTACTCAGACCAAGGTTTAGGAGAATGATTCATGAATAGCCTAAAGTTATCCAGAAGTGACTGTTCCAAACTGGAAGTTAATCTTTTTTCACTGTTAAAGCCTGTTCTGAATTCTGATATGCCTCTTCTACAATCAGAAATGTCTTTTTTTGTAGTATGAAGGATGAAGAAGAACAGATGTGCCCCATTTGTTTGTTAGGCATGCTGGATGAGGAGAGTCTAACTGTGTGTGAAGATGGCTGCAGAAACAAATTACACCACCACTGCATGTCAATATGTATGTTATCTTTGTTTTGTCAAGTTCTGGTGACTCTAAACCTGCAAAAGTATTATAGCTCAGTATGGTTTTGAGTTGTTTGTTTTATGCTCAATAAAAAAACCAGAGATCTGCTTGTAAATGATGACTGGTAACTCTGAACATTTGGTATCATTCAGGTACTATTGATACACCTTATTTCATCAGTTATTCACAAACCAAGTTTGTAATTCGATGCTCTGATAGAGAAGTTGCCTGCAGGTTTAGAGATTCACCTGAGTGAAAACACTATGTCTAATTAGAACAAGGTTAGGAACAGACTTTCAGCTTCCTGTGAGTTGTCTTTAGAATGCATAAAAGTAATGTAAAGCCAGCTAGGGTTATATAATGAATTATGAAGTATGTTTCGATAATACATCAAATAAAATATATAAATATTTGCATTTTGCATTAACAAATAAAATTTTTGTATATTTGAGGTACAAAAGGACCTGAATTTCAGTTCATAAATTAAAATATTAATTGTAGTACTAAAGTTGAAGCATTTCTTCATGCAGAAAAAAATAGTTTAAGCATCCATATTTTAATGCTTAGGCTGTGGAAAGTGGCCCAGTTCAAAAGTATTAATTATGAAACTAATGTTCTTCAGTAAAACCTAGAAGTAGTTATTCCATCTTCTGGTTTTGTACACTATAAAACTTCAGTGCATATGATCCTGTTGCTGTATTCCAGGGGCAGAAGAATGTAGAAGAAACAGAGAGCCACTCATCTGTCCACTCTGTAGATCTAAATGGAGATCTCATGATTTCTATAGGTGAGGATTCAGTTGGTGTACAATAAGCTATCTGTTTCTGCATCTTTAATTGATATTTTTTAATATCTTGCATTATTTACCACAGATGTTTAATTTGTAATCTGTGTTGTTCTTCATCTGTAGTCATGAATTGCCAAGCCCTGTGGATTCTTCTGTTCTTCGTATGGTTCAGCAACAATCTCAGCAGCAGTCAGCAGTTGGATCACAGAGAAGAACTCAAGATAGCAATTTTAACCTTACTCATTATGGAGTCCAGCAGATCCCTTCAACATATAAAGATTCAGCTGAGCCATGGATTCAGGTAATTCTCTTCTGTGAAATGACATAATAGACTTTAGAGTGTGAAGATGGGTTCAGCTGAACATGGGGTCAATACACTTAAAAATGAGAACTTGTATTTCCTTTATTTCTGCCATTATTTTTGTCTGGTATAGCCAGACCTTGTTTTCAGGACTGTTAATGTATTGAAACTGGCTTCATGCTTAATAATTAAAATGCTCTTAACAGAGTTTTTACAGAACCAAGTAGCATCTAACTGATGATGTTTTATTTCTATCACAGAATCTTTTGTAATACACTGTACCTTTGGACATATTTTTGCTGTCAGCCTTGATGATTTTTAACTAGAAATACCTTTCCTCTTTTTGATTGCTCTTGTTAGGTACTTAAGTTGCAGCATTATTAATTTTGACTCCTGTAATGTTGCTTTCTTCCTTTGCAGGTATTTGGGATGGAGCTAGTTGGCTGCTTGTTTTCTCGAAACTGGAATATACGAGAGATGGCACTTAGACGTCTTTCCCATGATGTTAGTGGTGCTCTGTTACTGGCTAACGGTGAAAGCACTGGAAACTCTGGAAGCAGCAATGGAAACAACACAAGTGCTGGAGCTCTGGGAGCAGCTAGTGGGTCGTCTCAGACCAGTATCTCAGGAGATGTGGTGGTAGAATCCTGCTGCAGTGTGCTGTCCATGGTCTGTGCTGACCCTGTCTACAAAGTGTATGTTGCTGCTTTAGTAAGTAGTTGTTTACTTGTTGTATTCTACTAATTTCACATTACTTCATTTTAGAAGGAGGAGGAAATGGGAGAAGATGAGTGAAATCAGGAATCCTAGCACTTGTTAAGCACCACTGGTGACTTTTAAGTATGCTTTGAAAGTGAGGTGATCAAGATACTCATCATAAGTGAAAGGACATTATTTTACTGTCACTTGCCACAGTGCTAAGTATTGACAGTATTTATATGTCTTTTCACTCTCAAAGAGGAGTTGACCAGTTTTAGCAATGAATATGTAGTAAGCTCTTTATCCTTCAGACATTTCACTGACATTTTGAACACAATTTATGTAGAACTGAATTTACAACTCCTTAATGTTTATTTAGGTCTCTTTAAAAAAATTTAAATTGTGTAGCTAGTTGGATTTCATATGGTTTTTTTTCCCTTTCTCTTAGAAAACTTTAAGAGCCATGCTGGTGTACACTCCCTGTCATACCTTGGCAGAGAGGACTAAACTACAGCGACTTCTCAAGCCAGTTGTAGAGACAATACTAGTTAAATGTGCAGATGCTAACAGGTATGATGTCTCATGTACTTAATTTTGGATTAATACTGAAATACCTTAAAGCTTCATTTGTTGCTATTCATGTGTAACCAGTTGGTGTTAAAATAAAATGTGTGGGTTGTAAATATATGTCATTATTTTGCTAGCCTGACTGCTGCTTGCAAACTTCTGGCTTGAAATATGTAGGCTTTGCAGGCAAGGGATTGTATAGCTTGTTTTCGTAAGGGCTTTTGGCCCCCCTTAAAGTAAAGGAAGATGTTAGGTGTAGGCATGAACCTATCCCTCCCATCTCTGTTTTTGTTGTTTTGGCCTATTTCTCATGACTCTCCTTAGAGCTATGAGCAAGTACTCCTCAGTATTCTTCCTGCTTCAGCAGAAGTTGTAACACGTTTGCCATGAAGTAGTAGCAGTAACATAACAGTTCTGATTTGTAGTTCAGACTGTAGTGGTAGGAGATAGCTATTTAGGGTGAACTCCCTTGGCTTGAGTCTTCCTGTCCTAGGCTACCCTCTTTGTTCTTCCAGGCCAACCATTTATTTTCCTGTACTGTAAACTAGATGAACTAGAACTCCACCAGCTTGAGTTTTGTGTCTCAAGGTTTAGTTTCTAAGCAGCATTTTTTTCTGAAACTGCAGCTAGAGATCCCCCCAGCAACAGTCTAGCAAGAGAATATCTAAAGTTAAAGTAGTAGGTGAAATAGAAGTGGTTTTATGCATTTGGCTACATTTGGCAAGAGAACAAGGTAATTTGAGGTTTTGTTTGTATATTAGTGATAGACATTACATTTCTGGAAGCATCTTTGTAAAAATGTCACAATCTTTACCTTACCTTTGTAAGGTAAGCTTACAAAGAGTGGGTTATAGAAATTTACTGGAATAAGGTGGTGTGAAATCATTTTACACATAATTCCTAGGTGATGATTTTTTAAGTATAACGAATAGGATTTTTTTCCTTGAAAGCATTTGCTAAAGGAGTTCTTTTTTTGGTTTTACTTTCTTACAGTCGAACAAGTCAACTTTCAGTCTCAACGCTATTGGAGATGTGTAAAGGTCAAGCGGGCGAGTTGGCAGTTGGGAGAGAAATACTTAAATCTGGTAATAACTTCATATACAAGTGAATTATACAAGCAAGTAATACTGGAATTTATCAAGTACAAGCATAGCAAAGAGAACAGTATTCCTGTCAACAGTTTGGAAGGGGGCTAATTTGGGCAAACAATGAGTAATTCTGTGTGATACAGTTCTGATCTTTGTGTAGACTCTGAACATATTACCTAATCTTCATTTTATCAACTTTTTTATAGGATCCATTGGTATCGGAGGTGTTGATTATGTCTTAAACTGTATTCTTGGAAATGAAATTGAATCTAGCAACTGGCAAGCACTGCTGGGGCGACTTTGTCTAATAGACAGGCTTCTGTTGGAATTTCCTAGTGAATTTTATCCCCACATTGTCTGTGGAGATGTCTTGCAGGCTGATACCGTAGTTGACAGGTACTTTCTTGTACTCTATACAAATCTTGGTCTTTGTTGTTGAATTTGTTGTTGGTGATTTCATAAAAGAAGTAACTGTTCTAATTCCTGTAAACAAATAACATATGTTTATATGCAAAGTATGCTTGCTTTACAGAGTAAGTGTCTTTTTAAAAACAACTGACCTGTGAAGCATTTTTGAAGCACCAGTGCAACAATAAATCTCCTTCCTACTTCAGAACTGACAACTAAATACATTGTTTTGAAACAGCTTTTTTGATACCAGTTAACTAGAGTATGTCAATTTATAAAAGACCACTTTTCTTTTTTTAGGTATAAGAAGCTTCTTTCCCTCTTAACTTTCGCCTTGCAGTCAATTGACAATTCCCACTCAATGGTTGGCAAACTGTCACGGAGAATATTTTTGAGTGCAGCAAGAATGGTAGCAAGAGTGCCCCATATTTTTGTAAAGCTGTTAGATATGTTGAGTGTGACAAGCTCAACTCATTATGCAAGGATGCGTCGACGTCTGATGGCAATAGCAGATGAAATGGAAATTGCAGAAGCCATTCAGCTGGGCATGGAAGAAATGCACTCTGGGGAATGCCGACATGAAGACTTTTTACACCTACCTGTGCCAGACAACTCTCCAGAAACTACAGAAAATAATACTCCGAATAATACTGTCCAGTTATCAGGGAAAAGTGGGAAAGGTTTAAGTGACAGAAAACTGAGTGCCAGTCCAGATGACATTTCTGAGATGCTAGCTGGCCTTGCTATGGGACTTCCTGTTTCGTCAGTAACCACTGAGCAACCAAAACCAGCCATACAAACAAAAGGAAAACCCCACAGTCAGTGTGGGAACTCTTCTCCCTCATCCAGTCATTCCCAGTCACTATTCCCAACACTTCTGTCTCCATCAAACCCATCTGTACCAGCTGGCACTGTAACAGATATCTCTAAACTCAGACCTCAGGGATTTGTTCCCTGCAAAATCCCCTCACCTTCTCCTCAAACACAGCGGAAACTTTCTCTCCAGTTTCAGCGAAACTGTTCTGAAAATAAAGAATCTGAGAAACTCTCTCCGGTTTTCACCCAAGCCAGGCCATTGCCATCCAGTCATGTACATAGGCCAAAGCCATCACGACCCACTCCGAATGATGTGAATAAGCAAGGAGAAACCTTAAAAAGCAGTATGACACTTGACCTGAATGATATTTCACAGTGTGATGGCAATAGCAGTGCAGTTATACCAAGTGAAGAGACAGTGTTCACGCCAGTAGATGAGAAGTGCCGGCTGGATGTTAATGCAGAGCTCAATTCCAGTATTGAGGACCTGCTTGAGGCCTCCATGCCAACAAGTGACGGCACAGTTACATTCAAGTCTGAAGTTGCAGTTCTTTCTCCTGAGCGGGCAGAAAATGATGATACTTACAAAGATGATGTAAATCATAATCAAAAATGCAAGGAAAAGATGGAAGCTGAAGAGGAGGAAGCTTTAGCTATTGCTATGGCAATGTCAGCATCCCAAGATGCCTTGCCAGTAATTCCCCAGCTACAGGTTGAAAATGGTGAAGATATCATAATCATTCAGCAGGATGTAAGTATATGTTTGAGAATTTAGCTTAAGTCTCAACTGAGGGTCATGGAAATGATAAAGCAGTGCTGTTACATTTCAAAAGTGATAGAAAACATGAAGGTGCTCAATACCCTTTCATAGGAAATTGGGTATAAATTTGAGGGTACTAACAGAATCCTTCCATGTTATTAAGAAATCTAGAGAAGGTGTTTGCAAGAGAAGCACTATATCATGTATCAACATTTAAAGTGACAAAAAAGAAAGTGTAAAGTTGAGGAAACCAGGAAATAAAACTAAAAATTTTAAGCAAGAGTAGAACTGTACTGAGTCCTAATGCTGATTTACTTTGAAGGCAATTGTACATAACCAAACTAATTTTTGAAAGAAAGAATGGGAAAAGATCTTGTCATCCTATCTTGAGAGAAGATGAGAGATACTTTATTAGTCAGAAAAAAATACATATATATTTGCGAATAGACAAAAAGCACAAGAAATAATAATAAAGGGTTATTGTATTTGTGATCCTTTGAGGCAACAACATGTAAAGCATAAAATTTGAGGGATAAATTAAACAGAAAACAACCCGATTTTGGTTCTATTTACTGTAGTTGCAAGCTAAAGCCTTATCTTAAGCTTATTTGTGATCCTTTGAGATAACAGCATGTAAAGCATGAAATCGGAGGGATGAATTAAATAGAAAACAACCTAATTTTGGTTTTGTTTACTGTAGGTACAAGCTAAAGCCTTAACTAAGTGTGAGTCAAGGAATAGAAAATTACTTGTGTCCTCTAATCTTGCCTTTCACCTTCATGTAGTAACACAGAGGAAGCTCTGTTTCATGTAGTAGAGTATGTGGGTTACAGCATACGCTGGTGCTCTCATCTGTATAACTATAAACTATGTGAACGTATGTAACTAGCGGTTCAAGGAGGTGTAAGGGAGAGGAGAGGCATGTAAACTAGGATATTTTCTAACACTTTAGAATGTCTGTATTTTAGATGCATGTTAGTAAACTTGGAATTGATTTTGAATTTAATTTGCAGACACCGGAAACCCTGCCTGGACATACCAAAGCAAAACACCATTACAGAGAAGATGCAGAATGGCTTAAAGGTCAACAAATTGGTCTTGGAGCTTTCTCTTCCTGTTACCAAGCTCAAGATGTGGGAACAGGGACGTTAATGGCTGTAAAACAGGTAAATACTTCAGGAAAGTAGCTCACTTTGTTGTGTTTTTTCTTTCAGACCTCTTGTGTTCCTGCTTCTTCCCTGTCATGTGTTCTGACATGAAACATAATTTAAAAAACCTTTATGTGCATGTATTAACTTTATATACAAGCTTTTTTAGTCTTCTTAGAGTGAAAAAAGTCCTTTGTTCTATGCCCATTTTCTTCCATAGTTCTTCAAGTGCATTTTCACTTCTATCATATTCATAAAATGGTGGCTGAGTTAGGAATGGAGCCCAGATAACTTGATTCCAAATGAATGCCCTATTTACAAGGTTGCTATTTTAAATAGTTTCTCCTCACTTGTCAAGAATATTTTCCCTGTGACTTTAAATGGAGGAAATATAGTTTAGTGTTTGTATCTTGTGATTCAGCTTTGCTAACTAACTAGCTTGGAGGCAAGTATTAGTATATAGTTTATTTATACTATATACTATATACTATATTAGTATAGTATATAGTATAAATAGTATCTTACTATTTAAATTAATAGATACAGAAGTTGTGGCTGAGAAGAGGCACATGCTTCAGTCAAGATTTCTGAAGGTTTCAGGTGTGAGTAAATTGTTCACACTAGAGCTGCCCTAGGGTTGAATTAGTAGTAACAAAATAGAGGGCGTTTTAGTCCCAACACTCTTATCAGTTCTACAGTGAAGTTACACCTATGAGGTAGAGAAAATGTTTTGAAGTTGCTCAAGGGAAGAGTATGTGCCATCAGTTATTCCTCCTTTGAAACTCTTTTCAAGTGGGACTTCCCATGTGGTCCCAGAGAGATGATGATGGTGATGCCTGGGGAAATTCCCTGCAGCATACCAGTATGTCATATTTGGTATGGATCACAGCTGAGACTGGCTCCAATTACATTACTTCTGACCTGTCAAGTTGAATTTCTGTAAGAGCTTTAGTTGCGAAACATTTATCATTTAACTGGTAAAATTTTATAAGGGACGTTCAGAATCCCACTTCAGGCCTTTTCTTTCTTAGTTTTTCTCAATATTGGGAAACCAAGGGTTTTTTCCTAGTTTAAACAGAGTTGAAAAGAGGGATGTTTCCCCACTCTTTACTTGGAGAAGATTTTGTTTGTACCCTAGAAGATCGTTCTTAATTTTCTGTGACTGTCTCACATGGAGATAGGTTCTCAGCTGGTGGGGTTGGAGGTAAAAAGTAGTTTCAGAGGGTGAAAACCTCTTCTTGCTGCTGTACTGAAAGACAATTACAGGACTTGTACTTAAATTAGTAATATTTATATTATATAAATGATATAATATCATATTTCAAAACAGGTGACATATGTTAGGAACACATCATCTGAGCAAGAAGAGGTGGTTGAAGCACTGAGGGAAGAAATAAGGATGATGAGTCATCTGAACCATCCTAACATTATTCGAATGTTGGGTGCTACATGTGAGAAGAGCAACTATAACCTGTTTATTGAATGGATGGCAGGTAAACAACCGGTGCAAATAACATTTGAGTCTTGAAATGGTATTTGCTAGTGGTATTGCTAGTGTTGCTTGAGGTTGTGAATTTATATTTTCATTGCTGTGTTCGCAGTCTGTGTAAAGGTCTGCTTACAGAACAGCTGAAGTGGTTGTAGCAATATTCTTAATGGTGCATCCTTTTGTGATTTGGAATTTTCCATACCTAATCTCTTAAAACAGTTGGTTGGAAACCCTGACTTTTCTTTCCATTTCTGACTCCAAGTGAGAAGTTTTAAATTTTGATTTATTTCCAACTGAAGTTACTCTCTCTCAAACTGTTGCATTTTCAGTGTATCTGTGTAGCTATAGGTTATTATTAAAAATAACTTTCCTAGAAAGTTTGGAATACCTGTCACTTTGTCCCAAGATTTTTCATAAAGATTGTGTCAGGCATTGTGTAGAGGTATTTAAGAACATTTAAAGTAAGTTTCAAATAAGTAGTAAGTAGTACTTTTGGAAAAATTAATTCAAACCTTAAACCTTTTAACTGGTAATCTAGTAAAAAAAACTGAAATGTTTTCATAAATGTGTAGAGTACGGACAATAAAATCTGTCTTTATTTTGAGAAGTAGTTTTATTAATTTTATGAATGTTTGCTGCTGTCCAGTTACCAAGTGGTGTTTTATACATCCTTAATTGCTGTAAATGAAAGCATTGCACCCTAAATTATGGTCAGAGTGCTAACATGCAAAGCTCCCAAGTATATGTCATTACAATAAGTAGTGCAAGAAATATTTTCTCAAAATTTAAAGTGCTAAACCTTTTAAGTGTAATTTTTTTCTGAAATATTATTATTTAGCTAGTTAAATGTCAGGAATTGCATTTGCCTCATTCAAGCCCAGACTATATTACAATACTCTGAGAGAAAAGTTTGAAATCCAAAATCTTGAGAATCTGTTACCAGTTTTCGAAAACAGAGGAAGATACTGCTTTTCCTTGCTTGTCTGCATAGTTCTATGTATTGGATGAGAACAAACATAAATTGAAATATTTAAAGGGAATACTTGCTGGAGGTTGCCTATTGCCTCAAAAAATAATTAATGTTCTGCTGTTTACATGTTAGTGTGGATAAAGTGTTGTTTTTAAAGAAGTATAAAATCATTAGGAAGCATGAAGACTTTCATCTTTAATATGTACAATTCAATTTAGAAAGTAATTGAAGAATGAACTACATAACTTTTTACCTACAAAATTATTTTAATTTTGGGAGGAAGAGGAAGGAGAAATATAACTTAGAAATACTAATATCAAGTTCCAGTTTTAGGATGCAGTGTTACACTCTACTAATGGAATGTGTTAAGTGTTGATAGAATATATTGTTTTGTCTTTTAGGGGGTTCAGTTGCTCATTTGTTAAGTAAATATGGAGCCTTCAAAGAATCGGTTATTATTAATTACACAGAACAACTTTTACGTGGCCTTTCTTACCTCCATGAGAATCAGATAATCCATAGAGATGTTAAAGGTGAGAATAACTGATAAATTCTTTTAGAAGGAGTATTCAAAAAGCAGCATATGTTTTGGCCTGAGATCTGTTTGTTCTCTCAGATACCATCTCAGGAGTGGTACTTCTACTGGGATTGTCTGATCATTTATAAGAAACTCCATAACTGAAATTAATCAAATTGTTACTGAAATTAATCAAAATGTTTGTGGCAAGCTTGTGGGTATTTGCTACCTGTACTAATAGTTTAGAAAAATTGTCTGTGTTGGTTAAAATAAGATAGGAAGTTCCCATGCATTTTTAAAACTACTGCTACTTAAATTAATGTAAATGTTTATGCTGAAATGATAGTAAAATCTGTGAACAAACCAAGATAAAGAGGCTAGATTTCTAATGTGTGGAGACACTGTGATGAGTTTTCTTACTTCATCCTAGTTGAACATAAATAACAGTTGCACCCTGAGTAAAATGTGAACTTAACTGGGAAATACCAGTCTTACTGAATTTTTCCCTTTAATGTCACTGTAGCTGTCCATGAACTGGAGACATATAAATATAAGTAGAACATACTGAAGGCATATGTGTCTTTACTAATTATTTTTGAAACAGTAAAACTTTATATTGTTTGTAACATCTTTAAAGCAACTCAGGGTTGCTTGATCATGAAAATAACTTCAAATTTCATGAGGAGCTACAGGCAATGAAAGCCTCCAGGACTTTGGGTCACCATTTCCTTCCATTATACCATCTCCAGGCATTGTTCCAGAATCCTGTGTGTTTGCCCTACTTTGAAAATTTGATTGCCTCTCGAAATCTCTTGAACAGCCTCAAGCTGTGTGCAGTATCATTCAGGCATAATGAAAAGTGAGGTTATTAGACCGTATCCTTGATTTTTAGATTTCCTTGATACTGAGGTGGGGAATGTCAAACTGTTTTATAATTTTGAGGTGAAGAGAGCAAAAATGTTCATCTTTTTCCCTGTAATAGAAAGCCAACTAGTAGTTTTTTTATTTTACTGTTGACAGGTGCCAATTTGCTAATTGACAGCACAGGTCATAGATTAAGAATTGCTGATTTTGGAGCTGCAGCCAGGTTGGCATCAAAAGGAACTGGTGCTGGGGAGTTTCAGGGACAGTTGTTGGGAACTATTGCATTTATGGCACCAGAGGTAAGAAACCAATTTTTAAAGTTATTTCAAAAAGTTTGTTTGAAGTCTTTAAGCTAATTCATATAGCCAAGTAACATAAAATTGCTTTGTATGCTTCAAATGTGTTTTAAATGCCTTTGTTCTAAAGATTGGGAATGATCATGGCGATGATGACATTTCTTTCTTGCTGTCATTGTTTCAAGCAGTTTGCTACAAGATATTGTTATCACAAGTGTTGTTACTAATGCCCAAATGACCATTTGCTCAAAAACTAGCCATTGCAAGGTACTTTGCTTGCCACTTGGTCAGGCATTTTATTTACTAGATCTCTAGACCTGTGTAAATCTTGTGGCATTTACATTACTGGTCATTCTCTTAGCCTGAAATGTTAATCAGAATACACTTGTTTGATGATGTGTTGAGGTTTACTTCTAAATGACTTAGAGCTAAGAGACTTTGAATTATATAATCTGATTTTTGGTATCTGTCTGTTCAGGTCCTGAGAGGTCAGCAATATGGGAGGAGCTGTGATGTGTGGAGCGTTGGCTGTGTTGTCATAGAAATGGCTTGTGCTAAACCTCCTTGGAACGCAGAGAAACACTCCAATCATCTTGCTCTGATATTTAAGGTATGGTTTTTTGTTATTACCAATATACTACAAAAAAAGACAAGTAATCTTGTATACAGCGATATGAATTTTAGAAAAGTGTGTAGCAGGGGTTGTTGCAATAGGGTGTTTTTTTTATGTTGGAGCTGTTAGCACAGAAGCAATACTGGTACCAATATAATCATACTTGCTTCTTAAAAAAACCAACAAAGAAACGGATACCAAAAAAGAGATAGTAATACATGATATTCAAAATCATTATAGAATGGTTTGTGTTGGAAAGGACCTTAAAGATAATCTAGTTCTACCTTCCCCACCATGTGCTGGGACGCCTTATACTAGACCAGGTTGCTTAGAAATGTCTGATCTAAGATAAAAAATATAAAAAATATACACTATAAAATATACTATACACTAAAAATATAGTATAACATGCTAAAAAAAAAAAAATTAGGAATAGAGTCAGAAGACTGGGGTGTTAACTTTTTCTTACAATCCTGTAAAATACAAAAGCTCTTTTTTCCATAAACCATTTGTGTAAGTATTCATATTTCACAGTGGGGAAAGTTCTTTTATAAAAGCCTAATGTTCCACAATCAGATTTTGCTGAAAGATATTTTCCAATATGCCATGCTATATATGATTTTTGCCCCTTCCTTTGCTTGCTAGATCATTCATCTTGGCATTCATTTTTTATACTAAAATCAGTTAATTATTTTAATTCTAAAGGTCCAGTTTTAAAGGGCCCTCCCAAACCCAGCTTCCACTAAAGTTTTTATGGGAGACCTTGGCATGTACTTCAGTGTGAGCAGGTGCCAAATGAGCAAAGAATGAATGAAGAAATGAAGAAAATACTGCTGCAAGTAAAGGAAGTGTTTGCAGAAAACAGACATTGCACAGCAGTACTCAGAAATATTCTAAGTAGAATCACTTGTGCTAAGAGATGCAATTGTCTTGGTTCTGCATTGCTGTGAATCTGCTGGTGCCACTCTAGTGTTCCCAGTCATTCTGCTTTAATCCAGATAGATAACATTAAAATTAATTTGATTGGGAGGGGTCTGTGTCTTTCTGAGAAATATTTGCCTTTGGGGTAGTAGCAGAAATACACTAAAGGCAGTGCAAGAAAGCACACCCAGTGTAACTTGTTGTGGCGTAACATTGCTCAGCTTCATCTCTCTCTATGGTGTCTCATGCCAGTTAACAGTGAAGGCAGCTAGTCAACTAAAGAATGTCCATATGTGTGCTGCAGGAGTTTTTCCTGTGGCCTGCTCTGAGATGGTCACTGCAAGATCTTGCTGTGAGGAGAACTTTTGGAGAAAAGTATCAGGAGGGAGTCAAATTAAAAAGCAATAGGCATAAGGACAATAAACTGAAAGTAGTAATGTAATCTTCAAACTGCAGTAGGAAACATGCTGAATAGAGAAAAATTCATCAGCTGAAATATCAGTTTGTAGAATGTTTTTGGGCTAAGAGAGGAGGCATTATCACGGACTTCTAAAAAGTTATTTCCCCTTGTTCAGATTGCTAGTGCAACTACTGCTCCATCAATCCCTACACATCTGTCTCCGGGCTTGAAAGATGTGACTCTTCGGTGTTTAGAACTTCAACCTCAGGACAGACCACCTTCAAGGGAGCTGCTGAAACACCCAGTCTTCCGTACTACATGGTAGCTACTTATTTGTAAGGCTGAAATACTGAAGAAAATGCTACTGAATATACAGTAACTGTCTTGCAGTGCAGTTACGTGCAGCAAATTATATTATTCTGCTGGCCTTAATGATAGATACATCAAGAGCATAAGGCCAGTGGAGGACCCTACCTAAGTATGTGATTGACAAATCAAGATCTTTACTTAAGCTCAGTATGCAACATTTGACAATTCATGCAGAGATTTGTAAACTGTGCCTTTTCAAACATCTGGCTCTATGTTAACATAAAAATGTTTTTCCTTAAATCTGCATGATTATTTAGCAGGTAAGTGATTTTTATTTTATTTAGAGCACTTTTTCAGCACTATTAGAAGCTGAGAGGCTCAAGATCTATTTTAATATTGCAATCACTGTTCAATTTCACATGTAGATGCTCTGCAATTAGTAAGTTTTCAATACTGGTTAAAAGGACATTCTGTCCCTTTTAATTACCTGATGCTCTCTGAGTTACAAATCCAAATATTGACAGAAACTTTAAAATAAGCATTTGCCTTCCTATAAAGTAAGAGCAGGCACTCATGGTTCACTGTGCATTTACTGCTGGCCATGTAATTTCTTTTGAAATCAAAGTTTTTCTTTGTATTTTTAACTTTCATGAAAAGGGGATATTTTAAAATAGTCTTTAGAAAAAAAGATGCAAGCTGTGTCAAGGAATATTTCCTGACACAAGAGTTTTAAAACCAGATTTGCTGGAAATCTGGGATAAAATGCCACTTTCAACAAGGATGTTGAAGGCTCTGATAGTATAGGTTATTTAATAAACAAGATTGTTCTGTATAAAGTAACTTAGTCTGAACCATGCTAGAAGTTGTTGAGCCTTTTTTTTCATATAGCTGTTTCTTCTGGCAAATCGTGTAGAGAAGTTTCATGTCAAGGGCCCCCCAAACCCAGCTTCCATTAAAGTTTTTATGGGAGACCTTGGCATGTGCTTCAGTGTGAGCAGGTGCCAAATGAGCGAATCTCATTCTTTGTGTAAAGAAACTGAGGTTACATTCTCTACTGGTAACAAGTTTTACCTGCTGTTTTCCTTCTGCCGTACATCATCTATTTACTGTAGCCATTAGTGGTAATTTAATTTGAAAATGTTAAAAATATTACCATAAGAAAGGTATTTATTTTAACAAGAAACAAACTTGGACTTGAAGATCCAGATAAAGTAAAATGTGAAGTAAAGCTTCACCTGTAGTGCAAAACTTGTTGGTTTTTAGGAGATGTGGGGTTTTTTTTTAAACAGTTTTTAAAAATTATTTTCAAGGCAGGTTTTTAGATTCTGATGCATGTAATTCTGAAGGAAAATGGCAGCTTTTTCTTTTGCTTTTTTAAAAATGGGGATCTTTTTTAATCTAATAATGATTGTGTTTAATCCATTTTGAAAAAAATTACTGTTCATGTTATAACTCTTCAGAAGCCAGTTGGATTGTTGGACTCAAATAGAATTGGTTATTTTCAAAGACTCAGGACAAGCTAAATAAGCTATAGTACCTTAAAAGTGTATAATACAAATTGGAAGCAAGACATCTTAAAGATACGTTTACATGAATGATAGTGCTCATACTAATAAAAAAAAAAAACAAACCATGTCATTAGTTGTGAATGTGTTTCTTTTGGAAATTTTACATTCCTTTGTTTTTGAAGATTGGCAGACTTTGAAGAGTTAAAAAGATAATACCGAAATGTGAAGTTTGGTAGCTCTGTTTTGTACTTGACTTTTTTTTGACCACTTTAGAATTTCTCATTCTAATAAGATTGTTTCCAAGTCTTTCCTATGTGCAAGCTTTAAAGGATGCACTCTTGCCAATTCATGTACTGGAAGATCAGTTTTCAGATTAATACTGTTTCTGGCAGAAATGTAAACTGTATAAACTGATGAACCTCAGCTAATCAGTATTACTATGTAGATCACCATGCCTACCACATTTCAAACTCAAACTGCCTCTTAGGTGTCCAAATGCATTTGTTTGAGTTTGCATTTCCCTCGGCTTGCTGGTAATTGTGGTGTTTTTTAAATGGAGATGTGATGTAATATTCTTATTTTCTTTGGATCAAAGCTGGACTGAAAATTGTATTGTGTAATTATTTTTGTGTTCTTAATGTTATTTGGTACTTAAGTTGTAAATAACGTCTACTGCTGTTTATTCCAGTTTCTACTACCTCAGGTGTCCTATAGAGTTTCTTCTACCAAAGTTCACTTTCACAATGAAATTATATTTGCTATGTGACTGATTCCTAAGACTTCCAGGGCTTAAGGGCTAACTTCTATTAGCACCTTACTGTGCAAGCAAATTTTACAGAAATCTCTGGGTTAAGAAATTTGGCTTCATTGTATCCTTTGTTATTTTAAATATATCAAGATATTTTAATTAAAAGTTTTTACCCCATTGAACCAATTTTATATAGTATAATTTGTACGTATTTTGGTGGTTTTTGTCTTTATAGTAAATAAAAGTTTTTGAACAAACTTTGTCCTTTGCTTACTGTAAGACAAACACATTCCTTTTACTGATGGAAATAAAATATTTCTGGTACACTTCACTGTTTATACACAATTTCATACACTTGATATATCAGGACTTATTTTCTAATATAGGGCAGCAACAAAGACCAATTTTGTAAAATTCCTGATGAAGAAAGGAACTTCTCTTATGACAGCACTGGTATCTACAAATCTCACTTGATTATGCCTTTAAGCGAGAAATTGTCTAAATTTTGCATTACTGCAAAGATAACAATTACCTGTTCAAGTGAGCTGGTTAGGTCAGTTCTGGAGCCATTGAAGCATGTGTTGGAAGTCAGTCTGTTTTGTGTTTCTGGTGAAATCATTCTGTTGCTTGAGATTTTAATTGCAAACATAAGCCTTTTATCATCCAGGCAATCCATATATTGCAAAGCTAGGGCTTGTTTCAGTTCTTGTCTTTCTCCAGGTATTTTGGAAGTTTAAAAATTAATAATTTTTTTATGGAACTAGATTTCAACTATAGGCTTTCTTATGACTATAAATTTTGTATTTGGAAGGACTGCACTTTTTATTATTTTTATTAGGTAGGATGCTTTCTGCAGATAGATACAAGTGCATCAATTGAGAAAAAACTGGCAGCAGAAATCTTCAAATAAATTCTAATACCTGATTTCTCAAATCAGAAAAATGTACTACCTGAAATGTCAGAAAGGAAAATACATGGCAAGGATTTAGTAGGAGACAAACTTACTATAATGTATCTTTATCTGATTTACTATAGAAGTTCTGAATCCTGCAGTACTGTGTCCTACTTGTGCTGTTGCAGCCTCCTTTTCAGGAACGAGGGATGGCAGAGGTGACTGGTGCCCAGCAGACGGCAGTGAATTTCAGACACCTGTTTAGGGAACCAAGTATGTGCACAAGGCAGGTTCTTTCACAGGCCAAGGGAAAGCTCTGTGCCTGGTGTGACTTCTCCGGTGGGAATAAAATCACGTTTCTGCATGTTGGTCATAGGTTGAAGGTCTGGTGGTGTTTCATCTTTGCAAGTTCTCCCTTGAGGCTAAGGACTGCCTCCAGAACATGTTGGAATGCCACATATGTCCTTTCATCACATGGTAGTGGGCAACTTGGGTGAATGGCTGTTGTGACCTAACAGCCCACCTCCTAAAGCTATTTCCCTTACTAACTTTTCACTCATTGCTTAGTCTTCCTTAGTAATCAGAATCCCGCTGTGACTGCCTTACTTTTAAGAGCCACAACACACATGTGATGTGGTGACCGTGTATCTTGTTTTATGGTTATAGCACACGGCTGCTGAAACCCGAGTTGCAAGTCTCGAAGACCTTTCTTCTGTAATTACCGAGGAAGGCCAGGAGATGGCAGGGAAGCACTTTGCAGCGGCCACTGTGCCTTTTCCTGCATTTTCCTTCAATTTCTTCAGTTCGCACTAGCCCTTCCCTCAGCTCCCGTTCTTGGAAAAGATGAGGCAGGCCAACAATGGAATTGAAGTGATTATGGAATAAATCAAGGCACAATTTTAAACATTTGTAAAGCTCTGAGATGGTAAGTTAATTCTTATAGTTACTTGCTTTGATGGGCCTGTCTCAAATTTCCAAAACCCTTGTCAAAATTTCAGGTCCAGAGGAGGGAGTGTAACCCCTTAGAGTGTTTTGAGGTCTGATTTCTCTGTTTACTCCAAAACCAATTCTCAAACGGTCCATATTTTTAAAACTGCTTTCTGAATAAAGTAAAATACATGCATACATGTTCTTTTTGTCCCAGTTCATTGGCAGTGTTAAACTAAAACTGAAGATAAAGAGCAGCATCCAAAGATAAAATTTTTATGAAACTAAGTATCCAAGCAGCCAAAGGACAACGGTGGCCAAAAATTATAACAGTACTCTTATCTTTACATCAGTGGTGGTTTGTAGAGAATGGTTTGGGGGCCACTGCTAATTTTTGAAGACCAATTGCTGAATTATTGTTTTCCTTCCTACATTTTTTAAAATTACCTTAGAGATAAGTGATGGCAGAATGTGGCACCAAAAGGGTTTATGCCCCTGTTTGTAAATGCTTGTGATTTGTAATATATCCCTTCAATCTGTGTACTTCGATGCTGCTGCTTGCTGTACAGCAGTGGGAAGCTTTAAATCTACAGTAGCTTATGATGCTACAAAGTACAACTCATGTCTCCTTGTGACCACAGCCACATACTAGCTAAAAGTGTGGACAGAAGTGTAACAAGGCTCAGGTCTATAACTGAGCCGCTCATTTTATGTCATGGATCACAACTCTGGAGGACAAGTCTTAGGAGGAGCAGCTGAGGGAGCTCAGGTGGGGGTGGGGATGGGCTCAGCCGGGAGAAAAAGAAGTTCAGAGGTGACCTGCCTGAGAGGAGCTTCGAGCCAGGTGCGGGCCGGCCTCTTCTCCCGGGAAACAGGATGTGAGGGTGTGGCCTTAAGCTGCTTTGAGGGAGGTTCAGGTTGGATATTAGGAGGAATTTCTTGACAGGAAGGATGATAAAACATTGGAAAGGGGGAGGTGGTGGAGTCACGGTCCCTGGAGGTGTTCAAGGGAAAATTGAACAATGATCCTCACAGTGGTATTAGGAGATAGGTTGGACTCGATCTGAGAGCTCTTTCCCAGCCTAATTCGTTCTGTGACTATCTGAGGCACTAACAGCCCTTAAAATCGCTGGAAGCAGGCACTGGATGATTTGGAGAGGTGCTGTGACAGTGTAAGGAGTGGTCTTCAACGGCCGCTTCTAGATTATTTTTAAACCACCTTTTCATCTGATTTTGTCTTTTCGGATTGTTCAGTACAACAGAGAAGGTGCAACGTAACATTGTTCCGAGAGAACCGTGTGTATTTCCGTCTGTAAGTGTGCACCCAGAGCTATGCGTTTTCATTCCCGGTGCCTGCAGGTCTCCCCACCCTGGGTACCGTGCCTCGTTACCCGCGGAGCGAGAGCCGCCCTCATCCCCGGCCCCGGGGCTGCCCCTCACGGCCCGCCCGCCGCTCACCGCCCCGCCGGCCGCCCGCAGCCAATGGCAGCTCACGACACAAACGCGCCGGTGTGTGTCCGGGGCGCGGATTGGCTGTTCCAGTTTGCGCGGGCGCGGCGCGGCAGCGGGGCGGTGCCGGGGCCGTGAGGGAGAGGCCGCCATGCTGCGGGAGCTGCGGCGGCGCTGGCGCTCCTACAAGTACCGCTTCGTGCCCTGGCTCGCCCTCAACCTCCGCCGCCAGCGCAGGTGAGGCGCGGGGAAAGACCCCGAGCGCCAGCCCAGACCCCGCTGCCCCTCGTCGGGATGGTCTGGGGCGCCGCAGGAGCTCACTCAGAAGTGCTTCAGCATTGGTCGCCCCTCGGCTGTCATTAAATTCTTAGGCACCTTAAAATGGTGTTTAAAGTTGTAGGTAGGTAGGTAAGTAGATTAGATAGATAGATAGATAGATTATATGATAAGATAAATAATTCCTTCTTGGTAAGATGTGTATGCCATCGTAAAAGTAGTGTTTGAATTTAAGTTATTATGACATGGTTATAAGTAGCAAAATTAAAATAAGCAACTAAATTAAAACCTTCCTTGCCCATGCAATATTTTTATTGCTTAATTTAAAGTGTAATGAGCTCTTTGTTTTTAAAATAAACATTATAATTATGTTTTATTTTCGGTGCTTTTTCCACTGAGAGCTCAGTAAGGTTTAACTTACTTGTGGTAAATACTCAGAAATGAGGATTTATAGTAGAGCAAGTACTAGTTTTTATTAAACAGTCTTTTTCAGTGTTTTAAGAACAGTAGCTTTAGCTTGAACAAGCATGAACAAAGCTTGGGGTTTTCTAAAAAAACAGTGTATTGAAGTTACTGGGTGCTGCAAAATGGCTCTTCTCTACTTAGGAAAAAAAAAGTAATATATGTTTCTAATTTTAAAATATTTTATTTTCTTTACAGGACCCTTCGATATGTTCCTGAAAGCTCTCAAGACAAAATTATTGCTGATGAAGATGTCTTTGAAACACTACTGAAAACATTTAAAGCTCTGTTCATTAATGACTTAAGTAGACAAGCAGATATTCTGGCCTTACTTCCAGAAGTCAAGTGTCAATATCTAGAATTACTTTCTGTGGAGCAGAAGCGATCAGAAGTTAACTCTTGTAACCATCAGGGTCAGCATGTGTTTAGTCCTGAGGAGGTTTTGTTCAACACGCTTGGGTTCACTGTTAGCAGAGACCGGAGTTCGCTGGTGTCTGCTGGAACTGGAGTCTTTGTTACCAGAGGTTTTGTTCCCAGGGGGACAGTTGTGTCTATGTATCCTGGTAATGGAGTTTTCCTATTTTTGATTAAGTTAGATGGGACTTCTAACCATCTGATCATGGAATGCCAAAGATCTACACTAATTTTTGTTCTGTGGGTTTTCTTTCTATCATTCCTTAACAAAATCCCCAGTTAGGCTGCATGAGAATATTTATAAACTACTTAGAGTTATTTTGGAAATATAAAAAAAAATTTGTTTGTAAAAAAAATTTAGTAGTTAAAGCCTGATTTTCCTGCAGCTGCAAGACTTGTCTCAGATTCTTTAAATGTAAGTGCACAGGAGAAATTTAAAGTAGATGAACAGAACGGTTGAATTCCTTGGGGTTTCCGTTTTGGTTCAGGATTTGAAAAATGACGTTTGAGGTCTCCACACAGGTCAGTAGACAATTGCATGAGCTTCTTCAAAGTACAGAAGTACAGAGTGGAGGATGGAAATAAAACCTTCATTTAGCAGAACTTTATTCTATGAAGTGTGTTTGGAAAAATCAGTACTTCTCTCTTCCTCATTTCTCAGAACTGTATTTGCATACATTCTTTAAAAGGTTTGTAATTCTGTCAGTATGGCGAAGATAGCAGCTCTGCTGAGTTGCTTTGGGTTTGTTAATGTTTCATCTTACAGCAAAATCATCTCCTGTGGTCTCTGGCCTGTGCCAGCAATGCAGGATTGGGAGCAGCCCCAGCATTCCCGGGGCAGTGGAGTGCATATTTTGGAGTGCCTGGCCACTGCCATTGATTACTCGTGGACTGACTGGTAGCTGAGTGACAGCGAGAGAGCCTACCACTTGTGCAGCTCGCTTCAGATTTCAGGCACATACTAGATGTGAGGGTAGGCTCATTCAGAGTCTCGTGTGACAGCTCTTGTAGCAAAACAAGAGGATGGGCTGTTGAAATGCCTTCTCAGGGTATTGACCTGCCGTGCTGGGCATGGGACCTGCGTACAGGCAAGGCAGCCTGCCTGTGGCTTTGCCTGGCTCCTTGTGAGATTGCAGTGCAGGATTTCTGCAGAGGTGCTGAAGATGCAGAGGGTGTGAGGGATGCAGGACAACAATTTCATGAAAATTGGCATGCCAGTCAACCTGCCGGTTGCTTTTCTCTGCTTGGAAGTCATGGCAGGTTAAATCCTCCCCTCAGATTTGGGCAACAGTCTGCTGAAATATTTTGTTGCTGGTTTGTCATTTTTCATCTCCTGGACCAAACAAAATCCCTGTGGTAATGGAGGGAGGTGTTTCAGATTCTTTGCTGAATCTGTGTGTATTTTTCAGATTCCTGGAGCTGTGTTTTCCTGTACAAGTATCACCTGATGTTTTCATCTCTGAAGCACGCTTGTTGGCTGTAGGGCTTAATCAACCTCTCCCAAAGATACTAATTTCAGGCCTTGTATGATTTTTCTGTGAGGCTTCTCTCTTTATAACGTATCAGCTCATTTACTTGAGAGGGGATTTTTTACATCCCAAAAAGTTATGTCTGAAAGTTTGTAGGTTTACAGATGTCAGTGTCACTAAGTGAGAGGGGATTTCTGTCCTACCCACTGTCTCTCCTTTGAGTTTCTGTGTGGAGGGGACTGAAAGCCCATTCTGACAGTTAACTTATTTTCTTCTGAAATAATATCTGTCTTGCAACAGGTACAGTATACAGAAAGCATGAGCCCATCTTTTTCCAGTCCCTTGGCAATCCCTTTATTTTTAGGTGCATTGATGGTGTTCTTATTGATGGGAACGATAAAGGACTGTCAAGATCAGTGTACAGGTAAGCAGAAGAAATAGAGGATTGTCACTTTTCTGATTTAAAACAGGGATACTCCTCATCTTCTCTGTTTCTTACCCTGAGTTGTACGTGATTGTCATCCACCTGTGCCTTGCTCATAATGCAAACAGCACAAGGGTGAGAGATGTTGGGTGTGATCCATTATGTATTTGTGTCTTCATCTGTAACACCAGTGAGATGCATTTTGATGTAGAGATCTTCCTGTACAGAAAACAGTTGTACTACAGCAGGATGTAGTGTAAAAGTATTGAAATGTTTCTGAGCTGTTACTCAAACCTGCTTACTTCATTAAGTCCAAGTCCCTGCTCCTTGTGGGACTACCTAAAACTGAACCGTGTGACTAAGAGCATCACGGAAACATTCTGTGAACTGTTTGGGATCTGTTGGTCTATGCACATGCCTTCCACCCCAGGTGGGTTGGGCAGCTGTAAGTTTATGCAGTGGCCATTCCTACAGAGGAAGTAAGATAACGTGTGAGATGAAGGAGCCTTGATCCACGCTAATGCTGTTGGGCATTTCAGGTCTTGCAGCAGAAGAGATCAACTTGGCCCTTTTCAAATGAGTGATGAGAGCTGGCTCACAGCCACCCTGCAAAACCCACTGGCAGTGGGACAGTACGTCAACAACTGCTCACATGGTAAGTTGTCAGGTAAATTTTCCAAGAATGTGTTTGGCTTTATGGATATAAATTATTTTGAAGTGACAGAGAGAACAGGAAATTGATCTTGGGGGGCAGTAGTACTGTCTAAAGCAAGCACTTATGGAGTAAAACTTTTCTGAGGTTTTTTGTCACAGCTGACTGTTAGAGTCCTTCCATGCAGCAACACTTCAAATACACTTTTTCGTTTCTCACTAATGCCCCAGTTTCCCTCCTGGTATGTAGAATGAAAGGCACACACCCCAAAAGTGAGATGGTGGGAAAGGATATCTGGCAAAATATCACCGGACTAGGACAATTTAGAGTTGCAGATCAAGTTTCCCAGTATTGTTCTAGAAGGCTTTGTGAGAAAACTACCCACGGTGACATGTACAGTAAGATTCTATCACTGCTCACTTTGAACTGTAAGACCTTTTTTAGACTTCCTTACATTTATGCACAAAATCTAGGAAATTGCTGTAATCGCACTTGTTGGACCTGAAGAAGGGAACTACTTATTCTGTGTCACTGTTGGTCTTAAGTAACTCACAGGAACAGTTGTACTGTACAAAGAGTTGAATTGATACCATACTCAGCTTCTAAGTGGTTTTCATTACCTGCATTACACTAAAGATTTTCTGCCTCCAAGTAGCATTCAGAAAGGCTGCTGGAGGAGCAAAGCTTGCTGGTGATTGGCACAGAGATACAGGGATGTCCCATGAAACTGTTTCTTCCAGGTCATGTGTATGTGATTTTTCTCCCTGCCTATGTTTCTGACATGTTTGCCACAAGGCAAAAATATTTTCCAATTTTTTTTTTATTGTAAAAGCAAACACTCTGTATTTGGAACTATTAGTAGCACTGTAAGCTACCCCTGGAACTAAACAAGATGTGCCTCTTCATTGACTTGTTGATAACTGGGCAAAGCTCCTGTAGTTGATTGCATACCGCTTGTGTATTTCAAAATAGGCCTTCAGAGGACCGCAGTACCTCCCAACAGAGGAATGGTTTTCAGGCTTGGTGAAGTATCTGGTTCTTCTGTAGCAGCAGCACATTTGATGTTTTTACATGTCTCTAAGCCCTATCTAATAACTTTTTTTTTTAATTCCTAGAAAAAGCAGCAAACGTGTGCTATCAAGAGTTTGACGTGCCAGGACATTTTCCAGTAGAACTGAAACAGTATCTTCCAAACATCGTCTACAGCCATGACATAGAGAGGTTGGCAGCAAATGAAAGAGCTCATAGATTTGTATAATACAAAGCATACTGCATGTGTAAAGAAGAGACAGACATGGTTGAAAAGCAAACCGTATGAAGATGAGTTACACAAGAGTGTGCAACCATACGGGGGAGTTACCTTTCTGAATAGACTATTTTTAGTTACAAGATTCCTCATTCTTTTTTTCACATTTTCACACATGAAATCAGCATATCTTTGAAGACACAGTTTTACAAGCAGTGTTGCACTATAGTGCAATTCTTCTGAATTCCATAAAGCAGTAATTGTACTTTGTATTACAGTACTGAAGCTTTTCTGTACATATCTCAAATCTGTTTCAGCCTTGACCAAAGCCCTTCTGGGATAATTCAGGTTTAGGCTTCTTACTCTCTGTTCTCTATGTCTTCTGCTTATGTGACAAATAGGCAGATGAATTTGCAAGAAGAAACCTAAAATTTTATAGAGACAAGTAAAATACTATGCAATATAAGGACATATAGTTACAGTACAATTAGGAAAATTACAGCATCCTGTTCATGGCTTGAAAGTCCAACTTTTTTCAGAAATTAGAATACTTGGAAATATTTCTGAGATAAATCTCCTAATTCAAGGATGTATAAGAATTTTAGAGCATATGATCTGAACTTTTAGTGTAATTCTGGAGTTATTTAAGTACTCTGAAATTTCATTGGAGAAAGTTGTGCATATTGGAAAAATTGCTTTTCTGATAAAACGTAGAGTTTGTTGAGTGAAGGTCAAAGATGCACTTGGAATCTGCAGATAATTAAATAAGTGCTAATAAAATAAGCAGTAGAACTAAATTCTCAGGAAGCCTGGATACTGTACTTGAAGTGTGAAAGCACATAAACTGTAGGACTGCTGCAGGAAGGGGGAATTTTGCTCTTGCTTGGAATCTGTCCAAGAAAATACCGTCTTCTGGTCATCATTTCTCCCAGTGTGCTGCTACCAGACAAAAATCCCATCTGCTTCTAGGTGCTCTTTTCAATACTCATGTATACCATACTGACAACATAGATTATCTGGTTTCTAGATCTTTTTATGTCTTATGAAACAGTTCTCAGTACTTATTTACCTTGTTGTTTCGTATGTTTCAAAATGGCCTCACACTAAATTTCAAATAGTGGAGACTTCAGTTCATTATGTTTTCCACTTCCTGGTTCATCAGTACACAAAGCATGTGCTCTCCTTCCCAGAACGCATACTTCAGTTTTAGGGCATGATCATTCATTAAAAGGAAGTTTAGAGGGGTGGGTTTCTATCCCTCTACATTTCTCTGTGCAAAACTGCCTGCCAGCTCCTGATTTTAGCTGACTGAGGGAGCTGGGGGTATTTATCCTGGAGAAAAGGAGACCCAAAGGTGACCTTAGCACCCTCTACAAGCTCCTGAAAAGTGGCTGTAGTCAGGTGGGGGTTGGTCTTTTTCACCAGGCAACAACTGACAGAACCAGAGAACAGAGTCTTAAGCTATGACAAGGGAAATACAGGTTGGATGTTAGGAAAAGGTTTTTTATGGAAAGAGTGATAAAGTACTGGAATGGTCTGCCCAGGGTGATGGTGGAGTCACCATCCCTGGATGTGTTTAAAAAAAAGACTGGATGTGCCATGGTTCAGTTGAGGTGTTAGGGCATGGGTTGGCCTCAATGGTCTTAAAGGTCTTTTCCACCCTAGTGATTGTGTGGTCGTTGACCCATCTCTGCAGATGGCAGCAGGTCTCTGGTGCAGCTAGGAGCCGTCTTCCTGGGTGGTGGTGGGCCCTAGGAGAGACGCTTTAGCCAGCTGGCACCTGTGGACAGGTGTGTCCACAGGAATGGCTTCTGCTGCATGAACTTTGCTGTAGCTTCTGTTCCTGTTTGTGTAAGTGCGTCTCTTGCAGACTTGACTAATTCTTTTCATCTCTGAATGATTGTGTGGAGCAATTGAGTGGAAACACTTTTTGCATACCCACATAGGCTGCTGGTTTTTAAATTATATTTGTTTTGCTTATATTGCTGTCTGTATTCCAGTGTCATTTTCCCATGTTCCCTGCCCTGCATTATGCATATTACTCAAAACTAATCTGGATGAGGCCACTTGTTTACCTTCTTGAAATGGGGAATTGAAAACAATTTAAAGGAAGATATAACTGTTCATTTTCACGTGTTTTGCTTCTTCTTTTACAGCCACTTGAGATGTGTAGTTCTTGTCACCCTCAGAGACATCAAGCAAGGAGAAGAACTTTTTTCAAATTACTACACTGTTGTCAGCTGAATTAATAGATTCAAAATGGGAGAAATCTGTGTCAATAAAATATGTATGGTGCCTGTACTTCAAGGTTCATCATCATTTTTGTGTAAGGGAGAACTGTCGTTTTATCATCCAGAGAGCAAAAACTGTAGAAATTCAGCAAAACTGAGTTTCTCTGAAAATAGTCCACATTTGATGCACAGGTGAAGATTTAGCTATTTACATCATTAGGTTCTCAGATGTCTGCTGTTGTTGATATTTCTGTAGTTGTACTTGGTGTTCAGCTGTCCATAACGTAGTTCATAAAATTAAAACCTAAGTTCTGGACGTGTAATTTAATCTACCAGATTGCACAGTTGTCTGTAACTGGGACTGTTGTAGTATTTTTCCATTTAATTTCCTGTGCTTTAAAAGTATGCAGTTTGTAAGAATCACTATCCTCTTGAATTGTATAATATATAATGCTAATCCTCATAGTTCACAGTAGTTACTAGGTCTATTTTTGGTTTTCTTGCAGCTGACCCCTTTGGTATCAGCTTGCTTTTAAAAAGCGCAGCAGTACAGGCAGTTGTTGTCCTGATCTTGTATGAAGCCCATTTTGGAACCATGCTGATGGGCCCTCAGCTGTACCTGCACAGTGCGCTGTCATCTTGAGGCCATCTTGAGCCACTGGCTTCAGCTGTGCCAGTCCTGTGTGCCTTTAAGCCTTTCCCAGTCCTGATTCCAGTGATTCATGGCAAGCTTCCTGGCATGTAACAACTTCCATTGCTTCTATTCTGCAAGAGAACTTCATTAATCAATTGCTGGTATAAACAAGGCCAGTGCTTCCCACGTTGAGTTTTGCTGCTGTCTGCAAACTGCTTTCAGAAGGATGAAACCAGTATTTAACTGCAGAAGTCCAAGCAAGCCTCCCAATGAATTTGTGGTTGGCATAAGCTCATGAGAGTGGAGGAGCTGGGGAATAATGCTGTGCTGTTACAAACTGGGGAGTGGCTGGGGCAGCCAGAGTGCCCTGCTTAGCTGCTGAGGCATCATCTCCTTTTCAGAATGTAAAGCTTTGTGGCGTTTGCATTACATGGTCTGCTTGCCTGCCGCATTCATTTGGAAGTCCTTCACTGCCAGAGGAGTCTGGCTATTTCAGCAGTTAACCAGCTGAAGTTAACCTGCAGAGCTCTGAGACAATGGCATCAGGCTCAGCATGGGTTGTGCAAGTTTCATGAAGATGCTCAGGGTGACTTCTGGTGACATTCTTTGTGTCATCACTGTTTGGTAAGGTATCAGAGCAGTGATCACCACTGCTGAAGAGGGGATTCATCCTCCTTGACTCTGAGGATCCCTTCTCTCCTGAGCTGACTGTTCTTCTCAGCTCTCTCAGAGGTTATTGGGACCTCTTGATCTGTGGAGGAAGCTGGATGTCAGGGGCACTTGCATCCAGGGGTGTGGTTCCCCAGGGAGCTCCCATGGCACTCTGGAAGGAGGAGAGCAGGAAAGGGGTGTCTATATTGCTGCGTATTTGTCCCTTTTCTCTTGCTATTACACCTGCTGTTCTTTCCTGGCCACTATTCTTCAGACCCTCCTATGAGCTGATCTGACTTGCTAAGCACAGTAACACCACCACCACCACCCCATGCTTTCTCTGCTGTTTTGTTCTCTTCTATAGCAGTGAGCTGAAGCAACTCATAGAAAACAGCTTATAGAAGGGCCAGAGTGAGCCAGAGAGTAGGAAGCCCATTGGTGATGCCAGAGTTGACTGATTTGACTCCCTGGGTCTTACAAAGCTGTGCTTTCAGACAATTCTATTTTGCCCATAAAGGTGTTTCTGTACTTGCTCACTACCTGCCAGACTGCTTTTCTCCCCACTGCCGGTTGCTCCTCCCCCTGCCGGTTCTGGAGCTCGCCTGGCAACACAGGGAACCATGTCAGGAACTGCGGCAAGTGGGGGTGGTGATGTTCTGCCACCTTGAGAACTGTACATGTCAGGCCTGTTGGCAGAGTAGGCAGGTGCATGCCAGTCGCAGCAAAGGAGCAGGTGGGGATAAGAAGTCATGCTGCAGGGCAGGAGTGTGCCCATGGCTCAGCACGGTGAAGGGAGCAGGAAAGCACATTTCTGCTGGGGCATCCTGGCCTCCTCCCCTGTCAGAGGGACAAGACTGACTTACAGAGACGGAAGAGAAATACAAGAACTAGCAGAGTTCTTTATCAAACTGATAGCCAGGGTTTATGCTTGTAGTGTTTGTTGCCTTGCAGCTTGCAGACAAAACAAGTCAGTGGGTGAAGCAACAGCAGTGACTGGTTGGGTAGATTTGGAGGTGAGGGTTAGGTCATGCTGTTCATAGGATCCCCCAGTTCAGCAGCACTTGAGCAGCAGCTCCAAGCCCTGTCTAGACCCGGAAGCCCTCGGCAGCCAATCAGCCACTTTGCCAGGAACAATGCAGCAGATTTAATCAGCTCCAAGGAGCTTCAGCAACCCAGAATGCAGTGAACAGGAACACAGCAGCATGACCAGGAAGGGATCCTTTGACCATCTGGAAGGAGTCAATAGAGACCGATAAACAGACTCATTATCTGGTGGGGAAGAGCCACGAAAAGATCCTTTCAGCCTTGGTCCTCTTAGTGTAAGCTAATATTAGCATAAGCTCTGGTGTTGTGGTGTTGCTGCACCACAGAGCTCATTCCCCTGCAAGCTGCTGGAGTCACTGACCCAGCCATGTCAGAGGCCTTCAGCCAGACACAGACCTGCTGATGACAAATGTATCTCCAGAAATGTCTGATGCCTCTTGGGCTGGGCCAACAAACAGTTCTTCTGCAGTAGGTGTGCTGTGGTTGAAGAGATGTGTAACTGGGTGAAGGAGCAGAGGAAGAAGTAAACAAGTTAAGTAGTATTTGAGTGAATGCGTAAGTGATTGACCAGTTGTTTACAGAGAAGCTACAGTCTCAAGACTCTCAGGAGTCTCAAACCTCCATGGTAGTGGAGAAGCTGATGGACTCAGAATTCTGCAAGGCAATTAGCCAAGCGTCTGCTGAAGACGAAGGCTGAAAGCAGATCACTGCATGTACCAGGAGGAAGGCTTCTCCTCCTGAAAACAATTAGGACTAGCACCTGTTACAACAGAGGCCCTGGAACTAGAAGTGCAGACAACAGATGAGATAGGTGAAGATCCTTCTGGAATAGTGAGGCCTTGTAAAACAACCTGTACCACACGTACTCCCCATCACAACATGTCTTTTAAGAGAAAAAGGGGTGGTTGTAATAGGAGATTCCCTTCTAAGGACAGAGGGCCAATATGCAATTGGACCCAATGCACCGGGAAGTCTGCTGGCTCCCAGGGGCTCAGATAAAGGATGTTACTGGAAAGCTCTTCAGTCTAGGAGGGGTATTTGATTACTATCTGCTATTGGTTGTTCAAACTGGCAGAGACAAAAAAACCAAAGAGAAGTCTGAGGGCCATCAAAAGAGCCTTCAGGTCCCTGGACAACTGGGAGTCTGAGGGATCAAGAGTACAGGTAGTGTTTTCCTTGATTCTTACAGTAACAAAGAATAATATTGATAGGATGATGAACCAAGGGAGTCTCAGTGCCCTGAGCTGGAGGACCATGACTGTGAGAATGATAAGCTCCCAGTTGACCCTGAGCTTGTGTGGGACCTGCTGCTCTAGCTGGATCCCTACAAATTTATGGGGTCTGACAGGACTCATCCTATCAGGATGGATAGGATTCATTCATCAGAGAATCCTAAAAGAGCTGAGTGATGTTGTTACAAAACTTCTCTCGATTTTTGAGCAGTCTTGGGAATCTGAGAGGTTCCATCTGTCTGGAAGCTGGCAAATGTCCTGATTTTCAAGATGGGAAAGAAGGAGGACCCTGGAAAACACAGGCCTGTCAATCTCATTTCAGTGCCCAGTAAAATCATAGATTATTCTGGGAAGTATTGAAAAACAGCTGGAGGACAATTCAGACACTGGTCACAGCCAGCACAGCTTCATGAAAGTCCTGCTTGTTGAACCCAATTTCCATTTATGATGAGGTAGCACATGTAGGAAAGCCAATTGGTGTGATCTTTTTGGATTTCACTAAAGCTTCCATTGCTCTCTCTCACTGTGTCCTTCTGGACAAAATGTCCAGGTCACAGCTGGACACACACACCATGGGATGTGTGAGAGCTGGCTCATGGGCTGGGCACAAAGGGTTACAGTGCATGGGGTGGTATCAGACTGGGGACCTGTCACTGGGGGGGTTCCACAGGGCTCTGTCATCAGGCCTGTGCTCTTTGACATCTTCATACATGATCTGGACAAAGGATGAAAAGGAATAGTAAGTTTGCTGATTACCCTAAACGTAGAGGAGCTGCTGACTCCCTTGAGGGCAGAGAGACCATAAAAAATTAGATGGGCAATCACAAACCATATGAAGTTTAACAAAGGAAAGTGCCAAGTTCTGCACCTGGCATGGGGCAGCCCTGGATGTACAGACAGCCTGGGGAAGGAGAGGCTGGACAGCAGTGCCATGGAAAGGGCCCTGGGGCTCTGGTCCATGGCAAGCTGAACATGAGCCAGCAGTGCCCTGGCAGCCAGGAGGGCCAAGCGTGTCCTGGGGGCATCAGGGACAGCATCAGCAGCCAGGCAAGGGAGGGGATTGTCCTGCTCTGCTCTGCCCTGGGGCAGCCTCACCTCCAGTGCTGGGGGCACTCCTGGGTGCCACAGTATCAGACATTAAACTACTGGAGAACATCCAGAGGAGGGCCATGAGGAGGTTGAAGGTTCTGGAGGGGAAGCCTGATGGGGAACAGCTGAGGTCACTTGGTCTGTGCTGCCTGGAGGAGACTGTACTGTCGTCTTCAGCATTCCCAGGAGAGGAAGCAAAGGAGCAGGCACTGATCTCTTCATTCTCATGGCCAGTGGCAGGACCCAAGGAAATGGCCTGGAGTTCTGCCCGGGGAGGTTTAGGTAGGATATCAGGAAAGGGTTCTTCTCCCAGAAGGTGTCTGGGGGCTGGAACAGGCTCCCAGGGAAGTGGTCACA